ACACCATCATACCCGTGTTCACACCATCATACCCGTGTTCACACCATCATACCCGTGTTCACACCATCATACCCGTGTTCACACCATCATACCCGAGTTCACACCATCATACCCGTGTTCACACCATCGTACCCGAGTTCACACCATCGTACCTGAGTTCACACCATCATACCCATGTTCACACCATCATACCCATGTTCACGCCATCATACCCGTGTTCAAACCATCATACCCGTGTTCACATTCATGCCACTAGTTCTTGCAAAACTTCCGGAAAGACAATTAGTGACTTTTATCTGAGTGTGCCATATGGCAAACAGCTGTCTTATCTTCCTGCAGAAGAAATTGGTAATATCTCTGTCAGCTGGACACCTGTACAGAACACTGCTATCATTTTGTTGGTTCAAATGACAATGCTAGACGTTTTAATTTGGCTGGTTGTGTAGAAATACATTGGTTCTTCACAACTTTCTCATATAACTCCTATACTCTCCAATTGAACTGTCTTCCTATCACTTCAAACGCATAAACAGCTCATTTCTGTCTCTAGAATATTTTTTGTATTTTCTTAAGGCTTTTATGTTATATTCTCTTCATAATTATCATTAATGAGCTATAATTAGTATTTATTCTTTCCTTAGAAAAGTTATTTTCTAGCATGTTTAATTTCTCTTCCATCACAGTATGTGTCATAGTAACAATAATATTTCTGCATACTTAATGACTGTTTCCTATGTGTACTATGCTGCTCGACTTAGGGTACATATGCATTGAATATTGAAATGAATAAATGACTTTATGCCAGCTATATAATTCACAATATGACTTTAATGCAATTTATAACATTCCCAAAGCTTACTTCTCAAGCCCATAAAACACCAATAATACTTATTTTACAAGGGTATAAAATTTTAAATATACTATTCAGTTAACTCAATTTTCATTCCAGGTAGCATAGATAATACTATGTGGCTTCATGAGCTGAACTACTCTTATTATTAGCTATTGGTAAAAAGCAATATTTCTTTTGAACACTCTTTGACATCAATTTGAAAGAACCCTTTGTAAAATAGACTTTTGAGAAATTCTGACAAGAATGCCATTGATTATATGCTTTATGTGGACATAATACCATTTGCAATTTTAGAGATGGTCAGTTTGATCATTTTTAGATACACCTTTCTTTGGAATTATGTAATTTTGTTAGATGAAATGTAATAGCATTAAGATGAAAGAACATGCTGTCTGCTTACCTAACAGAGCTTTTTCTCATTCTCCATTTCTAATTTTTATCCTCTGCTTGAAAAGAATGAAAAGAACTACTATCTTCTGAGGTTGGCTGATGACGTTTCAGTGAGAACTCAGAAATGAGCCTCGTTTCTTTCCATAATCATAATGATATTATATCATAGTCTTATGCTGATGACATCATTTATTCCTATAGCTATTTAATTATTGGAAAACTTTCTGACTACAAACAATATGGTTATCTTTCATGTTTTTGCAAAAGAATGACAGCAGAGAAAGAAGTGGTAAATAGAGCAAGCAGTTCCCAAATCTTTGTCTTATTTTTAGCCACACATGGCCATTTTTCTATCATTATAATGAGACAATTCTGCATTTTATATCTTAATGGGAGAGCTGAACTGATAGACCAGAGAGGCTAATTGGAATGTAAAAGTGATTGATGGCAATAACGATGGGGTGAATGTTGGGCCATAAACAGTACCTTTTGAATCATCACTGTATTTGCTGAAGAAAATATAATTTGCCATGTTGTATTTGTTGATATAAACTACTTTGCAATTGGAGTCAAGAGTACTCTTATCAGTTTACCATGAAGCCTTACCAGTATATATGAACATATACACACATTCTCAGATTTAATGACCTAAGCCTTCCTTAGCACAAGCATAGTAAGTTGATCCTTGGGGCATCTTGAAAATCAAGCACCTCAAAATTATATAATATTCTTGGACATTATAAGAAAATCAAGTGCTATGTAATTCTTTGTCAATAGAATCAGTAGAAGCAGTATGCAGATCATAGGTTTGTATACTTGTTATGCTGTGTGTGGGTCCAAGTTGTGGGTCATTTATTTATGTTGGTGTCATCCATTGGAGATACTGACTTATCAAAGTGTACTTCAACAGATGCAGACAAAAAGGTGTGAGTGATTTTAAGGATGACATATCTCTGCTCTATGGTTTTAGTCTTCCAAGGAAACGGCTCTCTATACTTATGCTATATTTCTCTGTGTACAAAACAGAGACTTGGTATCTGCTTAGTTAAGGAACATGTGGATCTTTTGAGTCAACTGGTTTGAAAAACATTATAAACATGAATAACAAAGGTACTGCAATTCCATTTGATGAGTAAACCAGAAAGTTTGCAACTTGACAATAATGTCCAGCCCCCACCTCCACTCTCTCTTTCTCTCCTCTCCCAATCTCCCCCTCTCTCTTTCTCCTTCCCTTTCTACCTTCCGTTCTTCCCTTCCTCCTTTCCAATTCTTTTGTTACAAACCTTAGGTTACTGCAGAGACATGTACATCTGTCCATAGCTGGTGGAATTGATTTGCTCTTCTAAAAAGGGCAAACATAAGGAACAGACATGAAAGCAATAGCAAAACGTGACTGATAATACATTTCTTGAGATTATGGAAACAACAAATAATGAGGCCAACTGAAAAAGCACAGAAGAAATTAGATTTTGCAAGAAAATCAAAAGTCTGGAAATTAGCATTACAACAACATTACATTTAAGAGTAAAAATGGTGCAGCAATTGACTTTTTTGCTTCATCTTTGATACATTTCCTTTTTATCAATACTCTTCACCTCCTACCATCCATTGAGTTAACCATCCTGTTCTTCCCAACATACACGTTTACACACACACAGGCACGCAGAAAGGCATACACACATACTCACACACATGTTCACACACATACACACATGTTCACACCCACACATGCTCAAACATGCATGCACACTCTCATGCATACATGCTTACACACACAGGCACACACACATGTATGCTCACATATACACATGCTCTCACACACACAGACACACAAACATGAACATACACTCACACACACATACTCACACACATTTATTCTTCAACTATCAACTGAAATGTTGTTTTCTTCTAATAGATAATAGTAATTCTGATTATTTTCATATATTTTTCTAATATTCTATGTCTCTTTCCATGTACATGAAAAAATTCCTATAAAGCAATTGCCTAAATAGAAATATAAACCAGCTACCCAGTAAGCTAAGAGCTCCTGAATTATCTCTGAATTGAGAGGCAATGGGGACAGCAGACAGCACACACTCAGCTCCCTATTCTGGGAGACTTGGCTGTGGGCTTCTTGGCCAGGTTGAATGTTGGTACACAGAGCTGCCTCTGATATTGCTAAATCATCATGTGTTGCCTTTGCTGTGGGCATTTTTAAACATTTCAAAAAAATTTTAACTGAGCGTAAAATCAAAAAGGTATAGGTATTCACAGGTACCATGTGATCAACAATCACTATACATTATTCCACACATCATAGAATGTCAACATTATATCACTTCAAATACAGTTAAACATTGATTTCATTTGCTTTTTCTTTAGAGCAAAGCAAAATTAGTAAAAATTATGAAAAGTGTTCAAATTTTTTACACTAACCATATACATAAACTAAGCATGATTAGGTTAAAAAGTATAAGTATACAATTTGTGCATTTAGCACTTCTACATTAATTATATGAACTATTCACTAACTATTTCCATATTTCCTGTCTTGATAGATGTCTGTGTATTTTAAATTTTGCATCTGATTATATTAATTGAAATAATTAAATTATCTATGCTTTTACCTAAATTACATTTACTCAAATATAACAAAATATTTCTTTATCATTAGCTTGCATTCTTAGACTGCATTTTAAGTTTAGTTACTATTCTTTGAATACTTAAAATGTATTAATAATTGCAATTTATTAAATTTTATTATGTAATTATTTTTAAATATTTCAATAAAGTATCTAAAACTTTGTATTCATCTTTCCTCATAATGTTTTTCTGTTTATTGCCATCCATTATTCTTACAGCATTCTCTTAGTCAATCAAGTATCTTAGCTTGAGATAGTTTTTAATCCAAGAAATTAATTTAAAATGCTGAAATGCTTAAATTGAGTGAGCATGACTTACTTTCAAACCAACACCAGATTGGATGCAAGTTCTGTGGCACCTATGGAAAGTTTTCCTTTTATTTCTCTAACTAATAATAAAACATTTCTATTGATATAAAAATTAATTGAAACTTTTTGTTATGAGTTGAGCCACCATAAACAATAAGATTTTTTTTCATTTTATTTTGATCATGATACTAACAATCTCTGTTAAGTTTATTTAACAATAACTTGTTAACAAATGATGTTTGTATGTTTACACATAGCCTTCTTTTTAAGAGGACTAGAGATAGTAGCTGTGTTTAATTCACTTTCTCTTGGTGGTAAAAATATATAGCATAAACTCTAGATTCTGTATCACATGAAGAATGCCATATGTGTGTGATGAAGAATTTATTAAGAACACATTGTGTACCACACACTGAGCTAGATGTCAGAATCATTTTTAGCAAAATGAAAAAACTGTTTCCAAAATTTATGTGTTGAAATATATTATACCAATGTGGTATAAGTAAATGGTAACATCTTTATATCATGATTAAAGTATGAGAGTATATACAGGTGAGTTGTGACATCTCATGAACTCAGTCTTTCACCTTTCCATCTTTTTGCAAAATGGGGACTCAGCACTATTCCCATATAGAGAACAAGCATTTAAAACCCCATCCTGAAAACAGACCAACCCTTATGAGACACAGAAACTGATGTCCCTTTGGCTACTCAGCCCGTTGAAATGTGAAGAATTGTAATTATTGGTTATAAAGTCATGAGTGTTTTGTTGTATGTACAAATAGATTAATAATATTCATGAACATGGGGAAAGTAAAAAAGAAAAGCAATAGATTGAAAAGTAATATATTTTTTTTCATTGAATCACTATTTTATTTTTTATATGGTCTATTTGGGGTTTTTTTTCATTTTTTAAATTTATTTATTAAATTTAATTTTACATATCAGCCACGGATTCCCTTGTTCTCCCTCCTCCCACCCCCCCACCTCCACCTTCCCCCAGCCCACCCCCCATTCCCATCTCCTCCAGGGCAAAGACTCCCCCGAGGATTGAGTTCAACCTGGTAGATTCAGTCCAGGCAGGTCCAGTCCCCTCCTCCCAGGCTGAGCCAAGTGTCCCTGTATAAGCCCCAGATTCCAAACTGCCAGTTCATGCACTGAGGACAGGACCCAGTCCCACTAAGATGGGCTGGGTAGATGGGTTAGTGGGTGAAGTTCTTCCTGTCACAGCAGGAGCTGAGTTTGGATCCCCAGAATCCACAGAAAAAGTCAGGCTTGGTAACCCTGGTCCATAGCTCAAGCACTGTGGTGTTGGGAGCAGAGCGGAAGAGGCAAAGACAGGTTAGCCAGTCGGTCTAGCCAATTAGTAAGTACTAAGTTCAGTGAGAGACAGTCTCAAATATAAAATGGAGAGAGATCTTCACCTCTCCTTCTGCTCCTCCAGATCAAATGCCCCAGCTCTGTAGTAGAATGCCTGCTGCAGTCTCCCTTTCCTCTATGACGCCATCCCCAGGTCACAAAGGTCTTCTCCTCCAACCTTCCGTCCCCCATCTCATCTGTTATCCTAGCCTCCAGTATCAGCAGACGTTCACAGTGAGAACACACTACCTGAGCAGGCCAAAGAAACAGGCCAAAGCTAACTTAAGACCTTCACAAAATCCAATCCCCCAGTCTCAACAGGAACCTCTGCTGCAGCCTTCCTTCCTTCCCTGCACACGTCTCCTGTGGACCCCATAGATCTTCCCCCTCTTGACTTCCTTCCCCTACTCCTTGCTTTATCCCAACTACAGCAAGCTCTCTCTGCTAACTCACAAGTCACTGCTGCCAGGAAATCAGGTAGACTGACTGTAGATCATCCCCTCTCTTTGAATTCTTCCTGACTCAATCCCCCAGTATCATCCCCAGTGCTATAGCAGACCTTCTGGGTGACCTCTCTTCATGCTCAATTCCCATTCCAAGAAGACTAAATAAACAGATCCTAGCAGAACACTCTGCTTTATTCCCTCTTTTGACCCCCCTCAGGCCCCTAACCTATTTTCATTCCTAAGTGTCAGTTCCCAGTATCCTGAAACACATTTTACCTGGACCTCCCAATGGCCATACCTATCAGATTCACAGAGCATTTCCTACCAGGCAACACAGCCACCACACTTTTCCTAAAATCCATAAAGGAAACCAAGGAACAAAACACCCACCCAACAAAGACAAAGCCAGATATCAGAACCTAGAACTATAATATTCCCAACCCCTGATGGTTATATATCAGCATAAAAATGCAATCAATAACAGAGCAATATGTCTCCACTAGAATCCAGCAACCCTGCCATAGAAGGCCCTGAATATTCCAACAAACTGAAGCACAAGAAAAGACTTAAAACAGCCTGTATGAAAGTGGTAGAGGTCCTGAAAGAGGAAATAAGTAAATCCTTTAAAAAAAAAAAAAAACACAAACAAACAATGGAACTAAATGAATAAAATTGTTCAAGATCTGAAGAACAGAAATATAAACAATAAAGAAAACACAAACTGAAAGCATTCTGGAAATGAAAAATTTAGGACTTCAAACTGTTGCTGGAGGGCTTCTCTCCAGGTTCCCCAAGCCCCGAAGTCCCACAATCCACTTATAAAATAAACACTCAGATGCTTATATCACTTATAAACTGTATGGCCGTGGCAGGCTTCTTACTAACTATTCTTTTATCTTAAATTAACCCATTTTTATAAATCTATACCTTGCCACGTG